TTTGGCTCTCATAACTGAGAAGGGCCACTTTCAGGTACAGTGCGTGTGATCTAGGGACTCGTTGCCATTCGGACTCTCTCCATCTTGTCTTGGTTCCACGCTTCCCTGAGTGCTGCTTCCTTCTCATGATGGCCAGTGGTCCCCATCAACTCTGGTGTACCTCCTACCTCAGCAGGAGATCTGCCTGCCTCTGATTGGCCCAGATTGAGTCATGTGCTCCTCCCTTAGCCAATCCCTGAGCCAGGAGAGACGGAGCATAACTGATTAGCCAGGCTGGGTCCCAGGCTATGATGCTGCCAAGGGCAGCAGGCAGGCTTAGGTCTGCTGAAAGGGATTCTTGACTGCTGGGTTTGCACTCAGGACAGAATTGTTCTCTGTCCTCTCCAGGGTCCCCCAGCTGCCTGGCTCACCCTTTCCCACCATCTCCCCATCTGGTACTGTGCCCACAAAGCACGCGGTGTCCAGGGAGGGACTTGACCTGGTTCCCTGAGCAACTTGTCAAGTGCCTCTTTCTTCTTTCTGACTGGAGGCCTTGCTTGGTGGCTTTTAGCTCTCCTTAAGGAGTCCCCAAAACAGGGCCAGAAGGGGCCTTTTTAAGGGCCAATCTATCCCCTGTACCCCTGAACAAATACCCCTTCCCTGCTGTATTCTGTCTGGGGGGGGAGGGCGGTCAGACTCTCCAGAGATAAGGATCGGTGGAACACCTGTTTAGGAAGTTCCTCCTGAGGTCAGTGCTTCAATTTTGGCTTCTCTCTCTCATTCCGCTCCATATCTAAATACATCTATGCCCCAGTCCTTTCCTCTGACCTTCCATAATCAAAGGCTTCCCTGTTCCGGTCACGCTCACCCTCCCCTTGATTCTCAAAATCTTTGTCCCTCCAAACCCTCTGTCTCCTCAGCCTCTACAAATATTCCAGTCTCACCTGGATGATCACAGGTGCTGCCTCACTGCGCCCATAATCCACTCCCCTCACTGCACAGGAGCAAAAGAATAATCAGTGTGACCATATAGCAGGTTCCCAAGAATTAAACAGTCAGTGACAGTGAAATCTAACAGCATTTGCACTAACATGTTGAAAACTGTAATAGCAACCATTGAAAAGCACAGCCAATGTTATAGTACACATGGCCTTGGACGTGTCGGCCCTCCCCTGGGTGGCTCGAACCACAGCTCTGACCTTGCTGCCGGCAGTGGGAGCAGCGAGCAGTCGTCTGCTGTCATGTGACAGCCACTCTTGCTGTCAGAACGTTGAGCTTATTTTATTGTACGTTGCTTACCGGTATTTGTCAAAGGGTAATTTCAGGAGAGACGTGTTTCTGAAACTCGGATTCATCCATGTCAGGCCTCCCTTCAAGCCCTTCATGGCTCCCGGCTGTGAAGCGTGGGCGTGGTAGCACAGCGTCCTGTCCTGTCAGGCCCTCGCAGGCCTGGCCGCCTCCCACCCACCTCTGCAAGGCTGGCCTTTGCCCTCCCTGCCTCATCTTCTGTCAGTGACATGTCACTCACTGATCGCGCCTATGACTGCACAGCCTTGGGCCTTTTCTGAAGCTGTTCCCGGGTTTCTGGGTCTGCTTACCCTTCCCTCAGAGTTCATTTGGAGGTATCCTTTCCCCCAGGTCACCTTCATACCCCTGCATGGGGCTGGTCACTCAGGTCTCCCTCTGCCTTTGCTTTCTCAGATGCCCTGCACCCCAGCATCTGTCCTGTGCTTCGCACAGGGGACTCTCTGAGGCTGTTCACTGAACCACGCTCAGCAATAAAAATGGCGGGAGGGATCCCAGACCCGAAAGGCACACAATAGCCCTGCCTTGCGCCTCTCTCTCCACTCAGGGTCAGTCCAGCTCTGGGGGAATGAGGCACCAGCCCAGCGGGCGCCTCGGGTGAGAGTGTGGGCTTACGCAGGGTGTGTTATGTTGTTTCAGCATCACCTTCTCCATTCCGGAAGGTTCCTTGGTGGCCGTGGTGGGCCAGGTGGGCTGTGGAAAGTCATCTCTGCTCTCAGCGCTCTTGGCCGAGATGGACAAAGTGGAGGGGCACGTGTCTATCAAGGTAGGATGAAGACTGGGGGAGCTAATGGCCTGGGAGGAAGGTCACGTGTGAGGCGGTGTGTATCTTTTGTTTTTTTGGTTTTTTTTATGCCGGTTTCTGTGTATGAAGCGAGAGCAGCGAGGCCTCTTTCTCCTCTCTCGTTCTCTTTCTCTCTCTCATTCTTTCTGCTCTTCTCTGTGCCATCCTAGAGGCAAGATTTTGGTGTCATTTATTTTCTGCTGTGTCCCAGCGCCTAGAATAGTGCCCGGGATGTAGTAGGCACCCAGTTAATATTTAGTAAACACACAGATGATCCCTGGTCTGCTCGCTGGCTCTCACATCCTCCCCGTCTCTGCCTCTAAGCGTGCATCTCATGGTCTCTTTACCCAGGAAGCCTTCTGACTTGTTCTTTCTCTCCATACATTAGAAAGCATACATGACAGTAGCCGGGTCCAAGCTGTTGTTTTAAGAAACGTTCTGTCCTCACTTTCAAGGACGTGTTATGAAAGTAAGACTAATGGGCAAAGTGAGCCAGGTTAATGGGAGAGAATGACGCATCACGGTAGGGTCCATGTCAACCCTGATTTCCGCAGTTGACATTTGGGGCAGGATCATTCTTGGTGGGCTGTCTGTCCTGCGCACCGTGGGATGTTCAGCATCCCTGGCCTCTACCCACCAGATCCCAGTAGGAGCCTCCAGTTGTGACAACCTAAAGTGTCTCTAGACATGGTCAGATGTCCCCTGGAGGACAGAATTGCCCCTAGTTGAGAACTTGAAAAGCCTTTCAATATAAAAGTGATGAATCTGGAAGTTGAGGGTGCCCAGAGTATTTGGCTGGACGAGGCACAGATTTATTTGCGGCGGGTTATTTCGCCCCGGTGAGGGAGCGCCTAGCCCGCTTCTCATGCTCTTCTTCACACCTTACATTATGCGGAAATAAAGGGACGACAGCTTTTGAAGTGGATGATTTTGATACGGAAGTCCTTGCTTAAATTTCATCAAGGAAATTTCCTCAAGAAATCATTCCCTGATGTCCCTAGCTTTTTAAAGGACTTTTTATGAGTCTCATGTATTTTTCTCTCTCAGCATTTACCACGATGGTAATCAGTTTATCATGTCAACAACTTCCTATTTTCGGGAGGCAGGCGTTTTGTTCACTGCTGGAGGCATTCAGTAAATATTTACTAAATACATAACTAAAATCTCACCAATCAGGATTTCAGCTCTTAAACGCCCAATGTTGGTCAGTGATTGACCTCATGTGGGTTCTGATCTCACCTCTTGCATCTGTCGCCCTTTGTGACTCAGTTTCCTCTTGTTGAAACAATAGGTGTGATGAAAGTTTCCTGTGAAGTGGGGTTTCTCTGGCATGTGGGTGAGCTGGCGGCTGTCTTGTTAACCAAGCCTGACTGTCTGTCTGTCTTGCTTTCTTCTCCGTTCGCCATCCAGGGCTCAGTGGCCTACGTCCCCCAGCAGGCCTGGATTCAGAATGACTCTCTCCGAGAAAACATCCTTTTCGGACGCCAGCTCCAGGAACGGTATTATCAGGCTGTGATCGAAGCCTGTGCCCTCCTCCAAGATCTGGAAATCCTGCCCAGTGGAGACCGGACAGAGATTGGTGAGAAGGTCAGTGCGGCGTCAGCACGGCCCCTGTGTCGGTCATCTATTGCTGTGTAACAGCCAACCACAAAAATCTCAGTGGTTTATGATGCCAAACACTTACTCCTCCATTTTGGGGCATAGTAGTCAACTGTGACTGCCTGGCCCTGACTGGGCTCAACTGGGTGGCTCTGCTCCCCACTGCGGGCCAGCTCGGGCTCCGAGCTGTGGCTTGGGCCCAGGCCTGCGCTACCTCTTCTTGGGGCCTAGGCTGAGGGGGCAGCAGCTCCCCAAGGGAGAGCTCTTCTCATGGTGACAGCAGAAGCCCAAGAGAACAAGAAATAATGGGATGTCTCTTAAAGTGCCCTGTCCTTTCCGCCGACAAAGCAGATCCCTTGCTTAAGCCCACAGAGACTAGGAAGTGCACGCCACCTGTGTAGCCGTGTGACCACAAAGTCCCGCAACAGAGGCCACTGCAGGGAGGAGGGATGTCAGTGGTTCAAATGTCCACAGTCTCTTTCCAAACAGTGATGATAAAAATAACACAATAGCTGACACTTTCGAGCATTTACTATGCACCAGACACTGCGCTACACATTTTATACATATTTCGTCCTCATAGGAAGCCCATGAGACAGGATTTACTGTTATCTCATTTAACGGTCGGGGAAAAGAGGCACAGAGAGACTAAGTGACTCGCCAGAGCCCCCTTCGCACCCCGGGGCCCTTGCACATGTTTTTCCTCTGCTGGCTGCTTGTTCTAGCGCCTCCTGGTGGCCATCTGGTGTGCACTACGGAAGTACAGATGTTGCACAGCTGCACCAAAGAGTTTTCCAGTTTTTAGTCACAAGACAGTGTAGCTCCACCAGCTTTCTTAGTTGGTGAAAGATTTCTTTTGTTAGAGGGAAATCTGCCGCTCCTTGGAAAGAAAAAGCAAATTATTAACAGGGTTCTTCGGGTTTACAAGCAGCAAAGGAGCCTGAGCTAGTGTAAGAAGAAAATGAGAACAGAGTTTACTGACAAAAATGCATTGTGGGAAATTCAAGGGGCGAAGTATAGTGGGGGCTCACGGAGGGGCTGGGAGAAGCAGCCTGGCTGCTCCTGTCTTCTGTCTCTGCTTCTCTGCACATCAGCTTTGTTGTTTGTTTGTTTGTGGTTTTTGTTGTTTTTTTGAAGTGTCTATTTCTGCCCCTCAGTGACTCCTAGCTCTCCCTCTGTAGGTCCCAGCACCGGAATCTGGAGGGAGAGAATAGGATTGGCTTAGCTTGGGTTTGGTGTCTGCCCCTGAGCCAAAGAGCTGTGGCCAGAGGGACCATCTAGAAGAACCTGGCTGCCAGGACCCTACCCTGGTGCATGGGGAGGACGGACATCTCTCAGGAGAGGCTGGGCAGTGAACCCAGCAGGGGCCCCTTTGCTTCCCCAGCCAGATGTGGAAAGGACATTGGGCTGTCTGTCGAGGAAGGGCGAAGGCTGCTGCCGTGTGGTCCACGCAGCGCCCTGGTGCAAATTAGAACCTGGTGCCCTTCCTGCCAGTGAGTGGGGCTGGATCCCAGTGCCCCCAGGGTACAGCCTGCCTGGACTGTGTGTGGCTTCACCAATGAGGAAGCTCAGATAATGTTCGCTGTTAACAATGACAACAGTAATAATGCCATCACCGCATCCTCTGGTGCCTTCCATCAGACTCAGATCAGGATCCTTTCCTGTAGCCAGTGTCACTCAGTGCCGCCGGCCACGCTTTGCTGAGGACCCATCTGTCCCGGGCTAACTGCTCAGCAGCTCACAGGAGGCTCAGGTTTTCTGTTCCGCCTGTTTTACCGTTGAGGCTAAACCCTGTCCTGGGACTTGAACCCACGTCCATGCCATCTGATGCCTTTGCCGCTGTGCAAACGGGAAGGCGTGTGCAGCCCAGCAGGGCCTCCGGCCTGGGTCTGTGGCATCCCCGGCCGGTCTCCCCCTCTGCCTGTCTCGAGGCTTCCCAGGAAGCCCATCCTCTGCCGTGTGTCTTTCCAGGGCGTGAACCTGTCAGGAGGCCAGAAGCAGCGCGTGAGCCTGGCCCGGGCCGTGTACTGTGACTGTGACATCTACCTCTTGGACGACCCCCTCTCGGCTGTGGATGCCCACGTGGGAAAACACATATTTGAAAATGTGGTTGGCCCCAAGGGGATGCTGAAGAACAAGGTGCCTACAGGAGGGGCAGGGGTCTCTCTCACTTGGATTAAGTTGCAGTGTGTCCCCCTTGGGGATCCTTCACTTCCCAGGCTTTGGGGGGGTTTTTTTGTTGTTTGTGTTTTGTGTTTTTAGTTCAGACTTAACACATTTGTTTTATTTTTTTTAAAGAGATAACCATTCTAATGGCAACCGTGAAGTTTTTTGTTTTGTTTTGTTTTGTTT